TGCGTGTCGGTGTGTGTGTGTGTGTGTGTGTGTGTGTGTGTGTGTGTGTGTGTGTGTGTGTGTGTGTGTGTGTGTGTGTGTGTGTGTGTGTGTGTGTGTGTGTGTGTCTGTGTGTGTGATGAAAATCTACGTATGAATTATGATGAATATATAAATCGATATGTAAGTAATCAAATCAATGTTCACTAAAAACGGAAACTGAAACCTATTTTCAAACATATTAAAACAAAAATGTATTTCTCATTTCTGAATAGAAATGAACAACAACAGGAGCAATAATCATGATGATGATAAGAATGATAATAGTGATGATAAAGATAATAATAATTATAAGAGTTATAATAAGTAATAATAATAATGATAATAATAATAACAATAATGATAATAATAATAACAATAATGATAATAATAATAATAATAATAATAATAATAATAATAATAATAATAATAACAACAACAATAATAATAATAATGATAATAATAATAATAATAATAATGATAATAATAATAATAATAATAGTAATAATAATAATAATAATAATTATAATAATAATACCAACAGCAACAACAACAACAATAATAATAATGATAATAATGATAATAATAATAATGATGATAAGGTAGTGTTGTGGATTTATTCTCTTAGAGGTGATATGCAGCGGGTATTTTCGTCATTCTGCGGTAGATATGAGGCATCTGCGGCTGTACCTGCCTTTATGACTCAATTTCTTATGCTTCATTAGATGGTAGTATTCATTTCCCCCTATGTTTATGTTAATAATAGTATTAATAATTGGTAATTAATAATAGTAATCGTCGCAATATTCCTGCATGTTTTGAGTTTAACATAATTTACATTAGTTAGCCATACAAACCTAAGATTTTTTGTTTTCTATCACACATTCTGCGCTATAGAAAACGTTTTTTTCACGTTAACTAATAATAATATTAATACATTGTTAATAAAAAGTTTTTTTTTCATTTTCCATCAATAACATTAATGTATTATTTGGTTTTCCATATAATGTTGCTTTATCATAGTTTGTATATGTGTTTTATTTAATGGAATGAATACCAACATAAGTCAATCAGAGCAGAAATGAGACAAAAAAAATTGATAAGTTTTGTGTGATTATTGTGCCATGTTTATTCATTCTTATGACTCACCTTTAATTTTTTTTTCTTCCAGTTAGTATCTTTCTTACTCCCGTTTCCGTTAAAGAAGGGAAAATGAAACCCATTAAAGAATCTAGGAAAATGTTAAAAAATGTCTTCAGTAAATTGATTTAAGTTCAAATCCATGGCAACTAACTTAGACAAACCGGACTCCCCAAATAGGCATATCCCGGCCGAGGCTCTGCTTCGCTAATCTAAAAAAAAATAAAAACTTTGATTATAGGTTCATCATTAAAATTTTGTACAAAAACTATGAACAATGAAATGTCATCTGGGTGCTTGAAAGGACCATGCATGCAATCAGCTTAACTAAAGATAACAGTATAACGGCAAATACACAAATTAAAGATAACAGGGTAACGATAAATGCACAAACTAAAGATAACAGGGTAACGACAAATACACATAAGCAAGGCCAGTAATTACGGGTTTGTAGGGGTGGTTCATGTGTGTTGAATCACCCTGAATAAAATGCATAGTTATGATTTTGATAGTTTGTTAATAGTCTGTATTAAACTGCTTGTTTGAGTATAAATCACTAATGAAATTTAGGTGTTGAATTAGTGATCGAATATTTTTAGAAAAATGTCCTCTTTGTATAATTTTACGAAGTATTTCTTTCAAACAAAACGTATATCCTGTTGTAGCATTAATGAATTCCTTATAGTTTGAAAAGGTAGCCGTTCCAAGGAATTCTAGGCAAGCGGGTGTTTATGACGAACTAAGCTCTCGTTTGCCAAGCTACGCTATCAAAAATAAACGAATTAAGGATACGTCCACTGACAAAGGAGTCAAGTAATCACATTCAGTTTTCTGCGTTTGTCTTCTGTGCACTATCATCTGTAATATTTCTGTTGTTATAAGTAATCTTTTAATGTTGCTTATTTTCTGTTAGAGAGTATATCACAACACACGATTATATTCATGGTCTTCCGTCTCAGGATAACTATAATCTCCAACCATGTTAGCTGTTATATGAAGATATCTGCGTCCAAAGAGAATCTCACACCAATTGTCCGCTAATATGTTTATTAAAAGTTTTGTCAGTTCAAACCTTCGTTCATAAAATGAGCATCTAACATACTCATACTAACATACGTTAATGTACTCTACCTCATGCATGTAGAGATGAAAGCAAAGAGATTAACAAAATATTCAATAAACTTATCATCTTTGAATGCGCTAACCCCCACTTAGGATAAGCAGTTCCCGTCTCCGTGTTAAATAACTGTATTGCATTGTCACTATCAATCACATACAAGGGATGGTGTCTACTGCTTATTCTTCCTGGTGCTGACATTACCTATAGATGGTTAGAGTACACCTTATGATTGCATGGCCCTCCTTCGGGATGTTGCAGGAAAAATCAGTCAATAGTCAAGACAATTTCTCTTCACTACATCCTTTTCCCGTTTTCCTGTATCCCGCCAGCATTTTTAAGTGACTTTTCCTGTCTCCGCTTTTATGTCTGGTCTTCACTTTTATTCTTTAGTGCCTTCCTCTTCTCTGAAGACGAAATCTAGTAGGGATTCGAAACCTTTGTCTCATTTAGGTTATTTTTTTCTGCTATACATATTACGAATTTGTGAAATTCACTAGAGTTTTGCTACAGAGAGTAACAAGTTCGCAGTGCTATTGAAGGTATCATACATACCGTGGCGGAGTCTTATGACGCTTTGGGTTTTGCACCATTTTTTTCAGATTTACTACGACTTGGGTAGAACGGGTTTCGCTTTCTGAACCGTAAGGCTACATGGTTATCGTCTGGCACGTTTGGAACTCAGAACATATATTTATTTATGTACACACACACACACACACATACACACATATAAACATGTATGCATGTATGTATACATATATGTATATATATATATATATATATATATATATATATATATATATATGCATATATATATGTAAATATATACATATGTATGTGTAATATATATATACATATATACATATACATACATATATAAATACATACACATATGTGTGTGCGTGTGTGTATGTATATGCATATATATACATATATGCATATATATATGTAAATATATACATATGTGTGTGTAATATATATATACATATACATACATATATAAATACATACACATATGTGTGTGCGTGTGTGTATGTATGTTCATATATATATATATATATATATATATATATATATATATATATATATATATATATATATATTTATAAATGCACACACACACACACACACACACACACACACACACACACACACACATATATATATATATATATATATATATATATATATATATATATATATATATTATGTATATTAAACACTCACACACTCGTAAACACACATGCACATGTATATGTATATATATGTGTATGTATATACACACACATACGTACATACATACCGGTTTACCTGATTGTGTCTTTGCGTGTGTGTGTGTGTATGTATATGTATATGTGTGTCTGTGTATGTATATATGTGTGTCTGTGTATGTATATGTGTGTCTGTGTATGTATATATGTGTGTCTGTGTATGTATATATGTGTGTCTGTGTATGTATATATGTGTGTCTGTGTATGTATATATGTGTGTCTGTGTATGTATATATGTGTCTGTGTATGTATATATGTGTGTCTGTGTATGTATATATGTGTGTTTGTGTATGTATATATGTGTCTGTTTATGTATATATGTGTGTCTGTGTATGCATATATGTATGTCTGTGTATGTATGTATGTATGAAATGTGTGTGTACGACGGCTTCCCAGTTTACTTGGTTATGTCTGAGTGAAAACTAATAAAAAGGAACGGAACGGAACTAATAAAACGATAAAATTATGAAAAAGGACAACAGGATTCATTATTGTTTTCAGTTTATATCAAATTCTCTTTTACTGCCAATTCATACTTCAAAATACACAAAAGTTATGGGACAGTTTTTTTCCCTTTATAAAAAAAAACAAACAAACCCTCAGGTCACATTTAGTTATTACTGTTTTTATTTCTTTATTTTTTTCTATTTTATGCATTTCACTTATTTTACTTTATTTTTTTTTTACATTTTATTTTTCATTCAGATATTACTGTTTCTATTTATTTCAATAACCTCTCTAAATTCAAGTTTTCATCTGAGCGTGTTTTTAGGGTGAAATAAACACTAATAATATCGTCTGTTTTATTTCATCTTAAATAAATACAGCACAAGCATTCCGTACAGATACACTTTTAATTTTCTTTAATTTTTCTTCATCTACTCTATCTTCAGCTAAGAAATTGATATCAAGCTAATGTTACATCTATTTCGTTCAATTCACATTATGAAACAGTCGACAGGAAGGTTAGTTGCACAGCTGATGAAATGGTATTCCGTAATCATAATATCAATATGATATATATAAGCTGGCCACATGTTCTCGATTTTGGCGCTTAGGACACGGAAACACCATTTAGTGATGATACAAAAAGACATGGAGAGACGAAGCGCGTGTAAATTGGTAATGTTTACGAAAGAAAATGAATGGTTTGGGACATATCGAAATCAAAGTGGAATGAAAATAAATGAGAAAATTAAGTGCATTAAAAAAAAAAAAAAAGACAGAGACTAGATAGTGAATAGAAGATTGGCATAACACTCACACCTTTTCGTTTTTTTTCTCTTCATCGTTACAAATTGTACTAGAAAATTTGTAAATGATACTAAGACTACAGATACATTCTTCAGAATTCGTTTTCCTTAAAGCATAAAGGAATGGCATAAACTAAACTCTCATAAATAATACCATCTTATACAACACGAATTTTCAAATCATGCGAAGGTCACACA